TATTTACTTATCAAATAAAGAAAACCAACACCATTGTGAGGACAAGATGGATCGCAAAAGTAATTATGACATTGTCAGAGGTCAATTAACTGGTTAGTGATTCTAAGAGTTAGACCCAACTCCATAATAGACGATAAGTAGCACTATTTCATCATTGTAAATCATTAAACTCTGGACCAGTCTCCCATAAAAATAAAAAAAAATTAATTCTTTTGAGATTTCATTTTAAAATTCCTGAGTGTTAAATGATGAAAATATGCATCAAAAATTGAATGGAATCTATTCCCTCTCACTCTAGATGCAAGGGAAGAAAATTTCCAAATCAAATTACCAATTGCGCAACTCTTACATAGTATTAGATCCCTTGGCAACGTCATATCCAAATTACAATTTTAAAGTATTTAGTTCATCTTTTTGATTAATATAACTATCAAATAAAAAAAATGAAATAGAGTATCTTAGTCTATATTTGTGGTACAACTTCCATGTAAACTTTTTACATTATCTATTATTTTATAAAGTATCAGTATGAGATTGATTTATTCATTGTGATTTTATTCTTTGCTGTCTAGATACAACTAAAATGTTTAAACTAAATCTACCACATGCTGGACCTTCCTCCACTTGAGGGCGATCTGCTATGGATTTGGGGAAGAGAGGTGTGGCTGGTTCTTTCTTGAGGAGAGGGACAAGTAGGGGTGGGTGTTTGGAAATTCATCAAGAAGGGGTGGGATTAATTTTCTAAACACAATCGATTTAAGGTTACGCTCGATTTTGAGGGGGGAGATCCAATATGATCCTATCCCAATTAGTGTTTTGCTAGGCCCATAGATAAAAAAATCCACTTTCTTACGGTAGAAGCATGAAAAAAAAAAAAAAAAGACTTGAATAGTACAATCCCTCCGTACCCATAGAAGATATATTGGATTTGAATCAGTTTTCGTATCAATCTATATTGATTGAGCATGTCTTCCCTCCTTCTCTCACTTCGGAAAGATTTAGAAGTATTTTCTTGTGATAACCTGATCGAGAGAGTACAATACTAGGGAGGCAGGAACATAGACTTCTAGGAGAATATTTGGTATGGTGGTGATCAATTCTCGGCGGGCGCCTTCCCAAGATTATTTTGGATACCTATGGATAGACATGACTCAATCACCAACTGTTATTGGCTCAAAATCGGGAGGAAAACTCAGGATGTGCAATTTAAGAGGCACTTCCAGGATTGGGAGCTGGAGGATGCCATCAAGTTTTTGACTTTGTTATACTGCCAAGAGGTAGATGAGGCGGGGCTTGACATTTGGGTATGGGGAACCTCATCTCAGGGGAGATTCAATGTACGCTCTTTCTATAGGAGCATTACAGTTGCTATGGGGCATCCCCAAGATTCATTCCGAGCAAGATTCCTCAACTGTAAGAGTTGGATGCATCAAGGTAAGAGTGCCGACTGGATTCATTCCCATGGATGGTTGTTTGGCGCATAAAGGCTCCTCTAAAGGTGGGCATCTTTTCTTCGACGGGAGTTCTAGGAGGATTCTGACATTAGATAACATGAGGAGATAGGCCATTGTAAACTGGTGTTGTATGTGCAAGAGAGTCAGTAGATCATCTTCTCCTGCATTGTCCAATGGCCCGGGGCAGCTGTGTCATACTTTTGAGTTTGTTCGGGATTGGGTTATGCCTTGGTCTTCAAGAGGCATGATAGAGGCTTGTAGAGGTTGTACAATGTGTTCCCAAGCCTGAGACATTTGGAGGGTGGCAACCTTGTGTGTATGGTGGGGCTTGTGGAGGGAACAAAATAGGAGATCCTTCGACAGAAGAAGAGACTCCTATTGGGACACTAAAGTACTCTATTATTAGTTCCCTTTTTTGTTGGGCTTTTGGGAAAAATTGTAAATCTATAGGGAAGACACAAAGACAGTGGATTTTTTTGGACATATTGAGAGTTTGGGGGCCCTATTTGGCCTATGTATAGCCTTTTGTGGGATGTGTTCCCATTTGAACGAGTGCTTTCTGATGATACTTCACCTACAAAAATTTTGGGGAAATAAATTTGCTATGGATAAGAGGACCAAGGCGGCAACACGGCACTAGTCTAACTTTGACAATTTCAATCAGGAGGTTTTGGGCAGTGTGGTGTATAGCATTGGATGCTTATACTTCTGACCAAGGCAAGGATTCTGTTGTTTGCACTTCATCACCCACAGGTATTTATTCAGCCAAAACTGCTGGAGAAGCTATGAGAACTCATTTTGAATGCACTTCCTGGTACCATTCGTTTAAGAATCCTATCCCACGACACAGCTACATATTGTGGTTGGCAATAAGACAAGAGCTTAACACTTTGGATAGAATTCAAAGATTTAATCCTTCTATTGGAAACCAATGTGGGAAGTGCAAGGCTTCTGAGGACTCTCATAATCATATATTTGATCCAGTTTCTCATACTGTTTGGGAGAATATAATGAAGACATGTGGCTTGAATCTGCAAGATACTTCCAGGACTGATTCAGTTAATAAAGCTTGCTGGAAATCTGGAAGAGAGCAAAAAAATTATGTCTAGCAGCCTCTGTTTACTTCTTACGGAGAGAAAGGAATGCTAGAATATTCAATCGAGCTAGATCAGGAAATCATGTACAACAAGATATAATCTTCAGCGTGCAACACCAGATGCAGTCTTCACAGCTAAATCTTAAAGATGATCAACCAAACAGATGACTGGTTGACCAATGGGAGATTCGAGGGGTTTATTTCAGACTAGAGAAAGTTGTATCTCTATGGCAGCTCAGTTTCTTTCAGTTCAGCAGTTGGTTTGGATGCATCCTTGAGTCTCTTGGCCATAGATGTCTCTTGTATTGCTATCCCTTTGTTTAGTAGCTTTCTTTCTTGTTTATCTTGTTGAGTTGCTAGTTGCCTTGCTGTTCTAGGGAGATTTGAATTTGTATAGTATATTATTGTTATGGTAACAGCCATTTGCTGTATGCTTGGGGCATGCCCCATGTTTTGGTATTTTTTCTTCTAATGATAACCTAGCTTACCAAGAAAATACATATATTTGTGTTATAGTACAAATTGAAATGTACATATATAAAGTTGTGTATATAGTACACATTGTAATATACAAATAGCTATATAAATAGGTGTGTGTGTATGGACCTAAAGCAATTCCCGCATAGCATACTGCTTTACCGCAATATGATCGTCTTCTAACTGTTGCCCCCCTTCACTTTAATAACATAATCCTCTGGTCGTTGATGCCATTGCAGGGTAACGACAATACCCCCATGAATCATTCAGGTCAATTCCAAAATTCAAACCGCCATTCCATGATTCATTCACAGATATTGTGTTTTGGGGGCATTAAGAACCTAGCCCTTGGTTGTGCTGTGTTTGGTTTGAGAATAGTTTACCAAGTACCTGTTGTATATGAATTTGTAGTTTGTGGGGGAATGGATGAGAGAGAGTTCAGAGAAGAATAAAGAATAATTAATGGTTGCAATGGTTTGCAGAGAAGGGTTCTGAAGCCATGGTGGTGGGAGTGGTTGGATTTTTCGGCCTGGAGGCCGGCGGCGGCGGCGGTGTCCAGCGGTAGTGGTGGAGTATATAGAACCTATGAATGTGTAACTGAGAATGTCTAATACATTTTTATTTATCAAAAAAAAAAAAAAAAAAAAAAGGAGCGCTCAAACCTAAATAGTTGATTGAAGTCTCCTGTCCTTTTAGAAATAGGACTCTGGTTTTTATAACCTTCCAAAACCACTTTAATGTATATCAAAAAGATCAATGAATGCATGAACCTTAGTTGGGGAGTGTCAAAATACGAGTTGGGATTACCCTTTTGTCATTAATGTATATGAAATTCCAGATCAACACTTGGACAAGGCACCATAACCAACTTAACTGCTAAACACCCAAATAAACAAAAAAGTACAGACCCCAAGATTTGATCACAAACTTGCCAACCTAAGTTTAATAATCTTCACATACATTTTTCATAATCTTTGTTCCCAGCTATTTTAATCTTCTGACTTGTCATACCATAAATTACACACTTGAGACATCCGACAGTCGCATTCTAGCCCACAGTTACCAGTAAAAGACCAATAACAAATATGCTTATGTCATACGGCTTCACTAATGTCTCATTATCCTTCAGAAGAGATTTAGTGAAAACTGCAATATAGGAATCACAAGGGCTTCTAGATATGTTAAATAAAGAAACAAACAGAATGCAATATAACATTATATCCACAATAAGAACATTGCTCTCATTCTTAGCATCAAAAACTTGAACAAATAACCAAGACAGAGACACCATGCAAATATAACTTAATTGACTCCTAACACCGTTTCTTAAAAAAGTTATCCATAAATAAAGCAAACTGAAAAGTTCTAAAAATTAAAAGTTCAAATAAAGATTCTGAGAAAGGGAAAAAGGGTGTACTATATGTTTCATGTTTAAATCTTTTCGTGCTCCAACTTTAGTGTTTTTCTTTTTTATTCAAAAGCATAATATGTTTCATAATAAGAACCTACCTACAATAATTATAAGGTCTAGTGAGTTCTGCTTTTATTTCTCAATTTTCATTCGTAATCATTCAAGGATTTTCTTTCTTATCCTAGTGAGTTCTGCTTCTTCTTGGTATGATTTCTTTCTTCAAACAATATTTTCCATTTAGTTTCTTATTGAATGTGTGTGTGTGTGTGTGTACACACATAAATATACAAAGATGGTGATGATGAATATGCAGAGGCAAACATATCTTTTCTATAGGTAGTACTGATACATCGACATCATCATCATCATCTATAAGTAATATATAGCCAACAATAATTTAAAAGATAATCCTAGTAAAAAGAATCCAAAAACTTCCTTTAGGAGAACAAAAGTGAAGAACACAAATTATAACGGAAGGCATATCATCTAACATAAGATCGAATCAAAGAAGGCAGTAAAAGGGATTAATTATATTAAAAGCAAGTAAATCCAAGCTACTTACAGCTGAGTTGGTCTGGAGTGGATCTTCCCCAAATGATTTAGTGAGACTAGGAAACGAATACAAGTAAAGGCTTGATAAAAGTGCCCATCTATTATTACACCATCCCTAGGTTTGTACACCTCTTCTAACCTTGTTCTTTTGAGATCATAACTCAAGATCCCAAGCGGAACGCTCAAGAAAATAACATCAGAAATTGGATGAAAAGCAAAGGGTAGAAACCACAATAAATAATCAAGATCATAGCCTTTAGAACGCACCATGTCCATTACTAAATTAACCATGCAGATGTTATACTTCAAAGTCCATTCCATGGCTTTACAATCTTCCTCAAGTGACCAAATGAACAACCAGAAGGAGTCTTTCTTCGCATAACAGAGACGGCCCATAAACACCCCAATACATCCAATCACAGTTAGACGTCCACTTTCTGTCAATGGGAGCTCAATGGCACGAACACCGACTTTGTTGAGATCAAACCTCAAAAGGTGCCAAGACAAAGATAACCGGTAGAGTGCGCCATCAAAGTAAACAGAAGGTGTTATCCAGATTCTCTCATTCAAGCAGGAATCAATTTGAACCAGGTGTCTAACCCATAGTTCAGTATCAGAAGAATATATGTCCAGCAGTAGCTTTCTTTCCTTTAAAGGTTGTGCAAAACGTACAACTCTGTAGCAAAGTGACTCAGAAGGGTTAAAAGCCAATGCTGCATAACAATAAGTCTGGTGGCAGCGCGCTTTGGGAATCGGTACATATTGTCTCATCACAGGATTGCACACATAATACCGGCAATCAGAGGCATTGAAGAACAAAAACAAGCCATTGCAACTATCAAGAAAGTCATGTGCACAAGTACTATGGAATGGTAAGTTGACCAAAAATTCGGAGTCAACACATCCACCTCCTCCTCCACCATCACCAATGCCACTGTTACCTTCTACAGAAACATAATCAATGAGCTCTCCGTTGTCCGGGCTCTGCAAATTACTATAAAACGCATCCCGTGATGAGTCGCTCGCGTCTGTGGTTATAAGGGGCATATGAGGAGGGAGAGCATAAGTACGGAAGAAAAGGCCACAGAGAGGAAGAGACACTCTGGGCAAGCAAAACACAGAGATTAGGTAATCCCATGATTTGCACACACATTTTAACCTAGCCAGAGGCTTTTCGGGCAATCGACATAGTATCTCAACCAACACATCATCGGGAAACAACCCCAATCCACAAGGAGGCTTAAACAAGCGCATTATTCGAATAAGGAACACAAAGGCGATTCTTTTTATTCCAATTGCGACACTGAAGTATTATCACATATGCACATACACACACATATACGTATATACATAGTTAGCGTGCCTTCACTATTTTTTTCGAAAATTGTACCTTGACTATTTATTTCAAGAGATTGTACCTTTACGATTCCATCAACTCTTCTACCTTGAATCGGAAGATCGTTCAAAACTGTCTTCAATGGAGTCCTGGCATGAACTAGGGTTTTGAACCTTCTGAGATTGACTCGCTGTTATTTCATTGATTAGACGAAATTATTTGAGTGTGTATAAAGTGCAATAAACCCCGAACTATTGGCAAAAAAACACAAAATCCTCCTGAATTAAGTAATGCCCCTAAACTTTTTTAAAAAGTACAACTAATTAAGGAGGTCACCGGAAATATTCAAAACCAACGAGTAAAACAAAGTGCTTTCATTGTGGGTGCCTTTAGTAATGTTTTGGTTTTTTTATTTTTGCTGTCGCAAAAAAAATATAATTTTATTTTTCGAAGTAAAAATAAAAAGCAAAAATAACGTTTAATAATTTTTGCTGTTGCTATAATTTTAATAAATAAAAAAATAAAAAGCTATTTTTAGTAAAATATTTGTTACAAATTTTTTTTTTTTTTTGGAATTTTTTTTAATTTATTTTTTCATCCATCTATCAAAATTTAACTTTTAATCCTAATAAAAGATATAATCTAAAAAGGAAAAATATATATTTATATATATATACATGGCAAGATAAGCATATAATTGTATGATGTATATATATAGAATATGAAAATAGATTTTATATATACATATATATTAACAAAAAATCTGAAAACAAACCACAACCAATCCATGTATAAAATTTAGAAAAAGGAAAAAAAGAAAACAGGGCTTTATATAATGTATATATATAGAATATAAAAATAGATTTTGTATAATGTATATATATAGAATATAAAAGTACTAATGGAGTAATGTCAGTGGTTGTGTATTAATGGAAAAGTAATGTCAGTTGTTGCGTAAAAAAACGAGGGAAATAGTGGTGAAAACGTTTCCTCTGCTACAATAAAAATGAGAAATGTTTTTCATTAAAAGGAAATAAAAACAAATTACTAAACATGATTTTTGTATTTATTTCTTTTTTTTAAGGATTGACAATAGAAAACAAAAAATGTTTTAGGTTACTAAACACACCCTACGTTAATAACTGTTGTGTTGATGTGTCAGTTGCAATCAGAATAGTTAATAGCATTGTGACATGTCACCACCTTACGACAATAACCAACCAACATTACTCGCCAAACACCACCTTATACTAAAACAAATACCACCTGTACAAAAGCCAGCCAAACACAAGGGGAATCGTCTCCATGGCACCTCTCATTGGAGGGTGTCCATGATAGATCCAAGGGCTAGGATGAAGCCAAATGAGCTCAACTTGCCATGTCATCGTTGACTAAGCGCCAAGTCAGCAGTAAGTTTTGAGACTTAATTTTTTTACCATGTACGAATACTTCAGGCAAAATACATATTTACCATTTACAAATACAATATACAAAAATTATACGTGGGACCCAAATGCATACTAACTTATCCTTTTTACTTTTACTTCCTCTTCTCTTTGTATTCTTCTTCCTTCTCTGAGGCCGACCTGCTGCTGTACTGTTCATCTTCCTAAAATCGTCCTCTACTTTCCCATCGGAATCGTGCGCCGTCGGCTTCCCTTTAGTCATTCAGTTTCTAGTTTCAGCTTCTGTTATTTTCTTCTTGCTTCACCTTCTCTTCCCTCCTTCTTCCTTCATCCTCCCTCCTCTGGTTCGTCTCATTTTTCCTCAGAGCCGGTATCGTATTTTCGTTTGTCTGTCTTCCGTTTAGGTTGTTTAATAGCAATTGTTGTTGTTGTTGTTGTTGTTGCATCTTATTCCTTAAACGAAGAAATCCTGTGATTTTGCGAGGGTTTATAGTGTGATTTTGCGAGGGTTTTATACATTTGGGGAAATATAATGGCAAGGAAAAAAACTATAGCAAAGAAGAAATTGGAAAAGAAATCGGTATCTAAAACAATGAACGAAGAAGATATTGCAGGTGGTGGGTAGAAATTGGTGAAAGCGCCTGCCTCAGTCTTCGTCATGTATAGGTAAATATTCTTTAAGTTGTTGAAATTAATTTATATCCACAATTGCTTTAATTTTAGTATTTAGGTTTTACAAAAAATTGATTGATTAAATTATTTTATTTATTTTATTTGTAGAACTGGAAATTCACATTGTTTTAATTTTAGTTGTATAATTGTAAATACACATGTTAGGATGGTATGCAATTCATAATACACAGATGTTGAAAGAATTTGTGGTTGTTATATTTATAGAAATATGAAAATAAAATAAAATAAAATAAAGTGAATCTTATTTATTGAAATAAGAAGTACAATACAAATACACATGTTAGGAAGGTTTGTTGATGTACTATGCAATTCATAATACACAGATGTTGAAAGAATTTGTGGTTGTTATATTTATAGAAATATGAAGTGTTGGTAAAATATATGCTGAATGTGACTTTTAAGATACAACAACCTTTATACTAATATGTCATGAGACAATTAACAATATGCTAATAAATCATTAATTAAATATGCAACTCTATATTTAATTAAATATACAAAATAAAGCAATAAAATAATAATAATATGCAAGGAATGAACCTGGACCGAGGCTAGTATTGGATACTATGTCCTTAAGACAGATTCGCCCCGCTATGGTGCTAACGGACTCAGTGGCGTCTATCTCCCAGGATACAACGGTCTACATCCACCAGTAGCAGCACTACAAACTCGTGGATACGGCGAACCTCCTCCGTGTAATACTCTCTCTGACTAAAAAATGCATCTATATACTATATAAATGTTGAATTGGGTGTAATCCGAACCAAATGGTTCGGACCAATCTTAATATAACTCGATAAAATTGGATTAGGATCGAAGTGGCTCGAACCACTTAACCTAAGGTTTGAACCCACTTGCGTTGGGTTCTAGTCTAGAGAGGGAGATAGAAGAAAATGAAAATGAATAACTTGCAAATGATCCAAATGGGGGTATTTATAGAAACAGAAATGCCTTTTCTGATTGGGTGCGTCTCTTCATCATTGGATACAACCATTACAATAGGTTGCAATGGTTCACATGGTGTCTATTCACCACTAGACACATCCATTCCAATAGGTTGCAATGGTTCACATGGTGTCTATTCACCAATAGACACATCCATTCCAATAGGTTGCAATGGTTCACATGGTGTCTGTTCACCAATAGACACATCCATTCCAATAGGTTGCAATGTGTCTTTTCGAATGGGTGCAACCATGGGTCATGATGGTTCGAAAAAAGGTGTAACCTTTTGAAAAAAACTAAAAAGTGGTTTTTTAATTTAAAAGGTGTAACCCTTTAGAAAAACTAAAATATGGTTTTTTTAATTTAAAAGGTGTAACCTTTTAGAAAAACTAAAAAGTAGTTTTTTTAATTAAAAAAACCAACCACCCAAAAAAAACCTACTCATTTGTAAAACCCATTTAAATAAGCCCAGCCCAAAATTAGGCCCAATCTAAAATTCCAAAAAAGAATAATCTGAACTTTACAATTAGGCCCAAGCCCAAGCCCAAATCCTAAACTCAGCTTATTTAAATTTCAATTTGTTTCAACATTTTTTCCATGTGGAACAAACATTTCCCACATTTTGCATACCTATTTAGGCTTATCAAAACACTACACTTTGGAGCTAATTTCTCATTCATCCAGAAACGGATTTCAGAAAGTAAATATACCACGTTCATCTCCTTGCGGAGAGAAACGTGCTTGTCTAGAGATCCGTAAAAAATTAGTAGCGGAATCTATTTCAAATCTCATCCAAAGTTTATGTTTTTAATGCCCCCGTTTCCAACAATCCCCCACATGAATGGAAATTTGCGTAAAATGCAAAAGATGATCATGCAGACACTAGAGAGAGTATAATCGAAAAGTTACTGCATCAGGATAGGTGGCTTTTGGCTTTGAACCTTCCCTAGTGTATTGCTATCGGATTTACTGGCTAACCAGTGAACGCGATGTCTTGAACTGTTCAGCCGTTTGTGTAAACCAAGACAATAACAAACACACAGTAGCTTTCCTCACAAAGTTGGTTCTCATTGTTGTGTTCATTTTGGCCCTGAACAAGTCCTGGTATTCAATGAGTGCTCTAGAAAACTTAGCCTTTATAGTTCTCATAGAAGCGGCCTTACTTCATACTCATATAGGTGACTTCTTATTAAGAGTATCCTACCAAACCCCACTTGAATTTTCAAGGTATAAGAGTCATTAAAAGCGTAGCTTATCCTGATCATCGCTGTAGGCAGCACTGTCTCATCATAGAAATGGGTAGAAGATTTATATCTTCCCAGTGCTTCTGGTAAGTCACTCAGAATTTCTGTTGTCCCTTTGAACCTAGATCTTGGGATCTCCAATCAGCTAGGTTGGGTTTCCATTAAGGTGACTCGTTAGCTTTCGGCTTTAAACCCCATTCCCCTCGATGAACTGTACAATTGCTCTCTAGTACAACCTTTAATTTTATATGTGGCCACAAGGTTGTGTTTAGAAATATTACACTCTGCAGAGATTTCTCCAGGTGAGAGCAACTGTATACTTTGTGCCCTAAAATTGCTTATTGTTAGCAATATCATTTTCTTTAGTGGCACAGGTGTAGACTTACTTTGAATTTTCCTCTAAGTGAAGTCTATTGACTTCCCTATTTGATTTATTCAAAGTTTCTAACTTTGAGTTATATTAAGAACATAGAACTACACCTTTAATATAAAAGACATATCCACTATTGGATTTGAAGTCTTTAATATCCCATATCCAGATTGCATCACTGTTACACCTCCAATTTAGTTAGATACCTCGATCTATGCAATATTGGATTTAAGGTGTATCTCAACTACCCAATTTATTGTTTTTTAGTGATCCGATCCTGGATTGAAAATGTGCAATTAAACACAGTTATTAAGTTGCCTTGCAATCTCAACCAATGATATACTTTGGTTAGTATATATATTTGAGATTTACATCTACAAAAGTTAGCTAGGCTTTTGTTATCATAACTAGTATTATCTCAATCTCACTCTATTGAGAATATTCTATATTATCAGATGTTAAATCTTTCATATCAAATATACCAATCAGTATATCATTTATATTTTAAGGCATACAATGACTTACGCATCACATTTATGTCATTGTCTCGGTAGTAGCTTTAATCCATTCAAGGACTTATAAGCTTACACACTTGACTTTTCAACTGGAACAAATAACTCAGCACTTCAACTGAAAAAAGAACTCTTCTAGTTGTTCCATAATATTTTCCTCGTAGAAAATAATATGCACG